GTTTCACAGCAACAATTAAATAAAGCCGCTTCATTCTTTACCAATACAAAAAATTATGCAATCCACTTATTTCTAAAATTAAAATAAATAGATGAATTACTAAATGCTTACCTTCACTGTCAAAACAGGATGTCTTTAAAAGTATGGTGGAAGTCATACATGTAAAAATTTACATACATGACAATTAAATTAAATGTTTTTAGGTAAAACTCCCACACTACCTTTGAATTAGGTTCCATTTTCTATTTTATAAATCACTAGCTGTCATCCACGACTCCGTCCGTGCCGAATTAAAAAAAAAACTTAATCAGTAGACTATGTTCCACATTTACATCAAATTTAGCCAAGATCCATTGAGCCGTTCTGGTGATAAATTTTAACAAACACCCATCCAAACATTCACAATTATAACATTGGATAGATTTCAAACTTGTTTCCATTTCATTTTTAGTACAACATTGTGATGTACAAGTTTTTCATTCTATTTTAATATATCATAAGTTGAACAAACCTTGTGGAATAATAGCTGGATTGTTGTCCATTGTCAGCTGGTCCACATGCAGGGTGTGCTGATCCGTTGGCTGCAAAATTAAAATAATAATTTACAATTTGTAATTACAACAAAACATATAAAAAAAATCCTTAACTACAATATGATGATTCATAAATATTCATTAATTTCAATTGATCATCCAAAAAAATTGAACAAACCTGGGGTACATTATCCATTTGTTCTTCTTGGAATTCCCTCATGCGTCTTTGTTGTGGCACGCTGCTTAAGGTTATTGAATCTCCTCTCACTAAATCAACAGACTGTCCAGCTTCATCATTTCTATTTTCTTCCGGTACCATGTTCAAAGATGTAGAACCAGTTGAACTCTTTCGCCGTCTGTGGACAATAATAATCTTATAAATAATTTATATATTTTACTAAACCTTGAAATATTATCGGAACATGGTATCAAGTCTTTTTTTTTTCAAAAACACACAGAACATGTTCATAGTCAAATGTTATAAAATCGGCAAAGATGCTACATTAAACAGCATAAATTCCTATAAATAGTAGTCAGTTTTAATTTGTTTTGTTTATTAATAGAATCCATTTAGAAAAGTTAATAGTCTCTTAAATCACACTACAGGCAAAATTTTACAAAAGGATTAACAATCGAGGTATATTCAGACATGAATCTTTTCATCAGTTTAACAAAAAGTTCTTAGACAGAAGTTGTAGTAATGGAAGCAAAAATCAGCATATCGTCCAGACTTAACATATTTAAATCTTTATAACCCCTTGCCTGTTTAAATTCAGACATCAATATGACGGGCAATTGGAAAACATATGAAAGTCATTGAAAGGACATATCTTAACATAACATTGTTATGCAAAGTAAAAATGATATAACACAGTATTTATTTAGATTCAGATACATTGTAGTATCATTATTTGCCAGTGTTCTATGGTAGGCTAGGTTTAACACTCCAATTTCATATTTTCATTTAAAAAAGTTTATAAAAAAGTATGATTTTGCTAATGTTGCAGTGTAAAATAGTCAAATTATAAATCCATATTAAACCATTATATTTATGCCATCAATGTAATGTAAATATGAACGGTTACAATAAGTTTTCTTTTCAAATTGTACTGTGTAGGTTTAGCATGAGATACTGCATGTTATTTTTGAAAGGGACTGATTGTTAAGTTTGATAGTAATGAAGAAATTATTTATATAAAGTATGTAGGTAATGTCTATAAAAAGAGCAAACAAGGAAACAATAAATTAGAAAAACTGACCTTCTACGTTTATTGGAAGGCGAGGCTGCCGGTGAAGCTGAATGTCTTTGGGAATCTATAGAGTCCCCCGGAGACTGGAAGTCTGCAGAAGTCCCCTGGGAACGTGTCAGAGAGGTGGAATCTGGCATTTCTGTGAGTCCTTTGATTTTTAGGAGCTTTGCAGTATCAAGTACCTGTAAACAGAAGTCAAAGATGTTATTTTATTAGTCCTCTAAAAAATATGAGTTTATTTCTATCATAAAATGTTAATAATTATAATTTAATAATAGCTTACTTGTGGTAGTTGTTCCTCGGTTACATTTACTTCACCATAATACATAAAGTCCACCATAGTACGAAGGTCAGAATATGAGACATCTTTAAGAATCACAATGGGATGCCTTGAAGGATTGTCAACTAAAACAGCCTGGAAATACAATACAATATACAATTAAATGAGACATGTAAACATTGTGTCATACTTGATAAGATTTAACTAAAGTTTACATAATATTTACAATAGACAAAGGTGATTGACTGAGCTATTTGTTACCTGAAAATAAGTACTGCAAGCAGACAACACCACCTTATGCGCTTTTAAATGCTTGCCTTCTGCTGCCAATGTGACATCTACAAGGGTTTGTGTATTCAACAATGTTGTGAACATAGATATGAAATTAGGCTGATGGTTATTCCAACGCAAGCTGTACTGTTGCGACATTCTAGCTATCTGAAACACAACACATTGAAATGACAGTGTGAGGACAACATGACTTTTACTTTAGCAACTTGAATATAAGCGATCAATTATTATATTAAACTATAAATGTTAAATTTGAGTGATTGTAACAATAAAAAATGATTTTAAAATGGATCTGTTTTGTTTTTAAAAGTCAACACTTGATACTAACCTTTGAGTTTATTTCTTGCTATTTATGAATGAGACACCTTACTGAAAAAAAAATGAGGTAACTATTATTACCAATATCAATGAATAAAAACCTAAAACATAATATGTAATAGCAAGAAATCATAAAAACATTTCGCTTACACAAATAACGGCTTTTTGAAATATTCCACACACACATAGGCACAATATAGGCGCAAGCAAAAATTAATATAATGTGTTTTATGATGTTGTAGCTTAAATTGGCAATTTGATTAATTTAAAAATATGCACATACCCATCATTATTGGTATTTAAAACAAGAACAAGTTATGTCAGCAATATTCAAATTATTCAATAAGAAAATAGAATGTTTATAACTTTATAATTGACTTTTTTAATCACCATTATAATATTTTCATTTATTTTAATGGTATTGAATGTTGTTGCTTTTTATTACAATGTAACATTTTCTTATGCCTACCCACTTTAGCACCGCTTCAGACATTTAATATCATTTTACTTATTTAAAAACAAATAAAAATATATTGGATATAATTTTAGTATGTTATTATTTATTTTCAGTGATTGAAAATTTTAGTGACAGGAAAATTCGCCTATAATGCTTAAGAAAGGAGCAATTATCAAAAATTATAGAACACCAGCTTCTACAAATATTGATTTTACATTTATTCAATTTTTAATTTAGGTGAATTATATAGCAATTGCATAAAATCTAATAGTTATTTTGTTTTGTACTATGAATAAAATTTAAGTAATTTCAATAAGAAAATTTGGAGTAATGATTTTGCAATGAAATTTTGACTAGTATAAATTGTTTCATTTAAAAATTATTTAGCTTAGCATTTGTTGTTTATAAAAATGGCAAGTAATATTCGCAATAGAATTCAATCAGTATTTTACATAATTACTCATCAATGAATGTCATATGAAGATGATAGACTGTTACATATGTATCATCACTTTTAAAATAATAACAAAAAATATTTAGAACACTTTCACAGAGCTAGCCGTTTACTTGAGAATAATAGACATCACAAATATGTATTTACCTTTGCACTTAATCTTCAACAACACCGAACACAAGCTACCACGATCAACCTACGTAAGAGACGACCAATGCGCCACAACAAGAAAATTTACTGAGCAAGGCTTTTATACCCGATCAAAATGTGAATATTTCAAAGGACCGCATCAGTTTTCCAAATTATATTCAATTTTATGTACATACTCAAACACAAAAAAAAAGAATCCAATCCCTGAATAGTGATGAGGCCACCCGTAAAAATGACATCAATCAATAACAATGCAAAGTCTTAACATGTCACAAATTGTAATTAAACATTAAACTTACCCATGCTCTATTTTTTTAACACTTATAGCCTTTTTATAACACTTTCAGCAAGAATTTTAAGTAAATAATTATTACTCCAACCCACGCTAACAATCTAACAATACCAGCAAAACCCACGCCGATCAGTGTTGCCACATAAAGTAAAGTAAAATAAATATACCTTCCATTATTTTTTTATATTAAGTTATTCAAGAGCAGTCGACTTTAGAATTTTAACATAAAAGTTCTGCTTAACAGGTTGTATAAATTAATTTAGTAGTCCTGTTTTATCAATTATTAACTTCCTTCAACGTTTAGCGCAAAAAGAGATTACTCATACGGTAAAATATACCATTACTGTTAAAGCCCAGAAATGTTTTTGTGTACAATATAACTTATTAAAACTTTTATATATTAACGATATATAAGAAATTTCGCATCAAATTCTCCATATGTATATTAAGCTTAATTTGTTTAGAATATCTTCTGGTATTAATTTATTCGTTATAATCATTACTCGTACTAGAGCATACCATCCTCTTGGATGCGTAAAACGGAATGTATAAAAACATCATTGGTGTTTTTTTCTGTCCTTGTAGATCGATCCTAATATTTATAAATTTTGCGAAGATCTAAGTGTGAAGAATAGAAACCATCTTCCGCAGTCAAGGTATTTTAACTCTATTCTTAATAATATGAAGATGTCCGTGTATGTGTAAAAACTTAAAACATTATTTGTTCCGCCATCGCTCAGAAATACGTAATTAGGGAAAGCTAGTAATTAATTTTGGCTTCAAGTAAAATTATTGATTTTTACTTGCTAGTTGATCATCAAAGCGCTACCATTGCCCAGAAAAGCGTGTTGAATACTTATAGATATGACCTTCAAGAGTTGGAAGGTCAAAACAATGTTTATATAATTTGAGTAAAATTCTTTTGTCTTCTCAGTGGCTGTTTGTATGATCAGCGTCATTATTTGTCCATTGTCCTTGTTTACGGTGCTGGCTTCTATATTCATAACATGCGGAGGTGCTAGCACGTTATCACGTACTTGTCCTCTTGCTATTTTTAGAGTTCAGATTGTGAGAAATACAGTGTCTTTATTAAAAGTATATACTGGCACGTTATACATAGCACAATAATAGTTTTCGCTTGCAGTTTAACAGAAAAGAGGTATTTAATTGATTTTCTTTTTTTATAAAAACATATTTAGCATTATATAAATATTAAGGAATGTGAACTTAAGTGAAAAGGTCTACTTTTTCAGCCATTTTGCTTTTATAGTATTTTACACCTTTTGTTAGGTTTATAAACATTTTGTATTGCAAAATAAATTCATTACATTATTTTTAAATTTTGTTGTGCAAAATATTAATCTTATTATGGTATTGTTCTTTGTCTTAAAGATGAATGCAATTTCATGCAAGTTATTCCATTTTTTTATAGAAAGTCACTGGCAACTATAAGTTAAATAGCCTTTACTTTACTTAGCACAGTAACATTTTTCATCAATAAAAAAGAAAAATGTATTAAATAAATAATTTTAAAGATTTTTATATCCATTCACTTCTTAGAGCTGAATGAAATTCAGTTAAAAAAACCATATCTACATTATTGCTGAAATAGTTTCCTATTATATCTATTTGGTGCAAAATACTTTGGTAAGGTGTTTTACACAGTTTTGTGTGATGTCAATACAGTTAATTCTGAATAAGAGGAAAACTTTATAAGTGTGAATCAATATCTGGTCCCAATGGATAACCTCCATAAGTGAGAAACCACTATAAGCGAGAGAAATACATATCATGATCCTATAGACTGTAGTTTATCAGGTTCAACTGAATATTTCAATTGTTTTGTCCGCATTAAAGAAAGATCCCACATATAATAAAAAAAACATTTTTTTTTCATTGTCTAAATGGTTTGGCTAGTAATTTGATTTCATTTATCTTAAAGTAATGTTAAAACTTTAAAAATTATTCAAACTTGTTATTTCATTATCAGACCCCCAGCCGATGCTTTGATTTTAAAAGCTTAAGTATTATGGATATTCTATTTAACTATACAAATTGTTTTATTATCTTAATGGCCTTGTAATAATTATTCAGTTGATAACATAAATGTATGATAAACATAATTTTCATTAGATATTGTATTTTAAAACTATTACTATCTCTTTTATATGTTGGACTAAAACTATATCCATATTTCTATTTATAATGTTTTGATGGAAAGTAATACTTAGTTTATACTTCACATAGTTCATAAAAGGTTTTTATATGTTGTTACAGTTCCGATTGTATCAACAATGAGTAAGCTGTGCAGGCAAGTTTCGATAGAGTCTCCTGGACCTACACTGAAGGATTGCGTCTTTAGTTTCGACGTGCCGGTACCAGATGTGCCGATGTATGGAGCCAGGATCAGGGTGGTGTATGCCGGCGCATGTTATCGCGTCAACCGCACTCGCTCTGCATCCGTGTGCAGTACATCGTCTGTTTCATCAATGAGCAGTCTTACTGGTGAAATGGAAGGTCTCGGTATCCAGGGCTCCTCTCCTGCGCATATAGGACTTCGAGATGGGGCGCTGTTTCCCGGTTATGAAGTTGCGGGAATCGTGGATGCAATTGGAGAAGCTGCCGAGCGTCCATTTGGCTTCACTGAAGGAACGCGAATAGTATTATTCCCATACGAAGGTGTACCACATGGATATGCCGACTACATTGTCGTGCCTGATTTCAAATGCCTTGTTCCGATTCCGGGCGATCTCCCTCTGAGTGTGGCCGCAATGCTTCCGACGGGCGCATTGCTCGCAAGTAACTCGGTGGATACTGCAATCCAATGCTTAAAAACTTTGCTCGACGGCCCAAACAAAAAAGATAAAGCCACTGTACTGATAGTTGGCACTGGTGGCTTAGCTTTATGGGCTTTGCGTCTAGCCTCCCACCATTTTAAACTGTGCAAATATCATAACCGGATTCGTATTTCCGTAGCGACTCTTAAAGATGAAGGTTTTGCCTTAGCGAAAGAAAGTGACCAGTAAGTATATTTTACAGGTTTTTATTATTTTTGCACATATTGAATTTGTTCCAATACAAAAACAATGATATCTTCTACACATCGATAAAATATATATGTTTCTTAATTTTGATTGATTGCGATTGTCGCTAAGAACTATTCAGGTATAGCCTTATATACTAAAAAGATATCATAAAGAGTACAACGTTATATTTATGCACATTAATTTGTTAGTATTATTTAGCGTGAACAATGTTATTTCATATAAAACCTTTCTTATTTGAAATTTTAACATTTGTCTATAAAATATATTGAAAGAACATTATATGTTATTGAAAATATAACTAAAGCCATTATTTTTATTCAAATATAAAGAATCAGCGTGGTACAGTGGAGTGAAGATTTGTACGAACGTCAGCTGATCGAGCGCACGAATGACGCGTGCGGCGGTCCCGTTGATATTGTGCTCAACTTCGGCACTACCTCGCGGTCCCTGCACCGCTCGCTTCAATGCCTCGCTCCGGTAAGTTGGTAACGCTTCATCACCAGCTCACTATACATCCCATCTGAGATTCTCGAAGCCAATCCTATGTTAGGGGTGTGGTGTGTCTGAAAAGGCTTACAAGAATTCAATACCCAAAAATGTCAACCCAAAAACTCTGTTAGCTAGTGGTTAGCTTTGAGTGCAAGTCTTTAGAGATGGGTAGGTACACCTGATAACCAACAGAAGCCATAAAAGCAGTGGTGTATAAAATTAAAATTGTAATTAGTGCAGCGTCTTCAAAATTGCAGGTCGCTTTAAAGTTTGAATGGCTCATTTATGGTAAAGTTTACGCTGTCGGTTCACGCGATCTCTTATTTACTTTTATATTTGAAATAGTCTAATTCGATTTGCTCTTGACTTGAGAATTTGTTTGCGAAAAGCGCTCGTAAATGTGTTTAATTAACATTGAACTTTCTGTTGATACTTAGGGAGGAATGGTTCTCGTAACTGAGGATGTCGGGGAAAAATTGATGCCGAAATTCGCAAAGAAAGCCGAAGAGTTGAAGGTGCACATTGTGGTGGTACCGAACGGCACCATCGAACAATTGAGGGAGTTGGTATTTTTGGTCGCGCGTGGTGATGTAAGTTTATTATTTATTTATCGTTATTTATTATCTTAGATAACATTGATTTGTCGGTGAACGATCTTGTGTATGATAGGTTGTCGAACTTAATAATTTGTCGTAACAATTACTTTTTCTTTAAAATAAGGCGTACGCACAAACATTTCCTAAGCGCTAAGTCTTTGTTCTTGAAGTCTGCTATTATCTGTACAGGACTAAGAATTTACTTTTCTTCATTCACAATTGTAAACAATCGGGATGGCGTATTTCAGATAATGTAGCTCCGCGTGTTATATCATTATTTGATAAAAATATGATAAAACACGCAGTGAATAAAAAGATTTGACAGTTTTTATCAGCTAGAAATGGACAAGCGCCTGTGTGTATACATTCATGAATGGCACGGCACACATTTAAGAACTATGTATAAAAAAGTAAAATATTTCAAGCAAATAGGTACTTAATTTTAATCAAGATTCACGTGGACCTGATTTCAACATTTCAATATTTTTAGATATTAATTGAGTCACCAAGTAGAAAAAAAAAACTTAAGTTTAACCTCGCATACTTTGAGAATACGAGGAATTTTCAAACCGGATAACGAACTTTATTCTGAAAGGGCCAGTCACGTTGCAAGGCTGGTAGTTTGGGAAACCTTGTTTAAACCTTTAATTTAACTTCTTGAGAAATTCAAACAAGCTTAGAGTATTAATTAAAAAGTTTTGTAGGACTGGAATAACAAACTTTTTACTATTTTTATTCATATCATATTTTTATCGTATGTATTCGTTAGTTATTTGATAGAACTCAATTCTTACTAGTTTATTATAAAAAAATATAATTCTTTAAAAAAACCTATTTACTAATGATTCTTAAAGAACCTGAAGCATACAACGGAATGTTATGTATTTACCTGAGGAAATCTGTGTTCGATGTAACTGGATCAACCGAATTCTGAATTGCATTAGAGACAAAGGAAAAAGCTTGTAAAATGATAAACAACCGAGACGTTGCAGTTCGCAGAACACATTTCCATATTAAATAAAAGTTCATTTGGGGTTGTCATCTTTTAGAATCCCCTATCTTCACAGATAAATAAAATTGGAAGTGCCTGTATGTAATATTAAAACAAGTTTTAATACTTAGGTCAGCAACACATATTTGGCTAAATTCTGAATATATTACTAAAAAATAGTCTATGGTACTCCTGCATACATCAGCCTACCTTCTATTAAAAGTCCTGTGGAAATCGGTCTAGCTCTTACGGACACGGAACAAACAGGTACTTGCGGACAGACAGGACGACAAACATTTAAAACATTGTTTTTCCTATATTTTTACATAGTGTACTGCATAGATGAGTGGTGGCTATTGAACATTAGGTGTAGTGTGTGAAGAGGCATCCCTGAAGAATAAAGTGGACAATTGGTGTCGCAGAGGCCCAATTGATATCGGGGCCGCAATGATTTTGCATTTGAGATCGCGCAGTGTCTCGCAGTTGCGACGCAGATTGTTTTTATTGGATGATATGAGAGGTCAACATTGATTATTCACCTTAAAGTTGTGTTGTCGCCGTATCGTAGTACAGAAGAGGAAATTATAAGAGACAAACAAAGTAATAAGTCGTGGAAAAACAGATAAGGGCTTTGGCATGTTATTGTTGATGTGCAACGCGGAAGTATTTATCAATAACCGTTGGATGAACTTAAAATATCATCAGCTCACTATACATCCTCACTGACGAGCCCGGGCCTACCCTAAGTGAGAGGTGACTAGGCCATATTCAACCACGCTGGTTCTGGTACCACCAGTGCGGGTTGATTAACATCACACATGACTTTGAATATTTCTTCGCAGATATTTGTAGGTTACATAATGATGTTTTCCTGCACTATAAGAACGTCGAATAAATTTTCATATGTAAATCGAAGATTGAAATCACATTGGTACATGGCGTGAAATAGTGTTATTATTTATATTTTTCTACATTTAATCTTATTACTATGTTATCTAGTAGACCTCATACAATTTGTGTTAGTTGTAACATAAAAATATTTAGAATCCTAAATTCTTGTTTGTTTAGCTACCTGACTGGGTTCTAGAAATAAATTTACATCCAACTATTCTCAGGTAGATTTTGAAAGGTGTAAATTGTACAATCGATTTTTATGTTTTTTTCTGAGTTTAAAAGGAATTATTCAGTTGTGTAACATTAAAATAACATTTACAAGTAATATCTCGATTTATGCAGTAAACACTTTATACAATATATAACAAGTATTTACTGTTTAAAACGATTTATACAGTAAATACTTGTTTTTTGTTGCTATTAATAAAATGAAAACTTCTGATTTTATTAACTGTTGGTACTTTGCATTCGTGGATTTTCGCTGCCGAAATTATTATCCGACATGTACAATCATAACTCTTAAAAAAAGAGTGCAAACTTTCATAATTCTTTGAGAGTTTTCTGTTTGACACTTTCTACTGACTTCTTGTTAATATTATTATCTTGAAAACGGCAGCACACATTACAGTGAATTTTGGTATTGATGTAGAACGCTGTCTGGAAGAACGAATAGGCTAGTTACACAGTTTTTTTCTGCACGTATGAATTCGATGGTCAAAAGCCAATAATATTATAAAGGAAACCTACGACAATCCCGTCAAACAAAATCATAATCATCTATTTCTAATTTCTGCAGCATTTTTTTTATTACTTCTATAAAATTAATTAGTATTTTTAGAAATATTGTCACAGATTACCACTGCCAGTTTACTTTGATAAATGAATGTCGTACTAGCATTGGACGTGTTAAAAAAAAATTTATCGTTCTCAGGTCGAGCCGCCGCCACATTCAGTGTTCCCAGCGGAGGAAGCTCAGGAGGTAGTCCGCAAGCTGTGCAACTCTGAAATCGAGGGGCGTGCCATCTTGAAATTCCACGATGTGGATTAAACGCAGACTCGTCGTTTCCAGTATTATTTAACGACCAAATATTTAGTTTAAGCATTATATTGACAACGCATACAATATCTTGAGTAATAAACTCAGCATATTATCGCTTCATTAACTTAGTATATATACCTTGTCTTAATATTCAATATTCATATGTTTAAGTAAATATCCCTTTTTCTTATCAAATATAATGTTTTAATATGGGATGGCATGCACTTAATCAATTTTCGATCTGTTTTACATACATTTGTAATTCAAGTATACGATGAACGTAATAATCGTACGTAATTTTCACCAATATTAATTTTGTTTGTTTTGTAAGTATTACGTTATATCCCTATCCCTACATATTTTTCTGATATATTAATAAAGTGGCCACAATATATAATTAAATTGCCAAATTTTCTATATAAACTTCGTATTCGTTTTCTAAATAATTTCAGTAATTTAATTTTTCTCATGAAATTCGCAGTTACCAGGTCAAAGATTTTCTTTAGTAATTATTTTTAAATAATGCTCAAAAGTGTGGAAATAATTATGTATAATTTTGTGTTTAATTTGACATTTTGTCAGTAAAATATAAGGATATTTTTCGATTTTACTTTTACGTATTAAACTTAGATAGGATTGTTTGGTAACCTTATGTATAACCCAGCCAAATGTATCCTTTAAAGAGACTTTCTTATTAGCATTAGTTTATCGTAGTTTAAACACCTATGAACATTAACGAGAACAAAATATGTTTGAATATAATCTTTAAGAACTCAGAATTCAATGACACAGGACCTTTAGAATATTCTTTTTATATTTAGAACTTTTATCTCTTATATCTACATATAGGATTTTTTCTACGCGATATACCTAACTTTTACTCAATTTTGTAATAAGGACATTTGAAATTTATAAGATTGCATAAATAACTGCCATATTCTGAAGAAACCGAATTACGTACAAAGTATTTTGAATATAACCACTTTTTTGGATATTGTGTTTTTTTAATTGAATAATGGACACGCACAATAGTTAAAGCTTTAAAGTATTTTTTACTATTTTATTTTATGTGCAATAAAAATTTGTTTTCCTTAATGTCACGTAATAATGAAATAGCATAAATTATATTTCTTTGGTAGATTTAAATAGTTTTACTTTATTACTATATTTTACGTATTAAATATTAAAAAAATTGTATTATTTTTGTGTCTAGTCAACATTGTGTTTAAAATAAGAAAAACTTTTATTTTTTTTAATGTCAATTAGTTCTGCTAACTTTATAAATTAATTATTTGTCCATGTAAAGTTTTGCTTTTATTATTTAAAAGGTATCAAACAATACTCTGATTTAGTATATAACATCTTTGACTCAAATTTGAAAAAAAAACCGCCTGATAAGTATAACCTCAAAAATAATTTAAAAAACAATTGAGCAGTTGGCAGACCTAATTATATAGATTAGTGAGTGTTACCTGTGTCACAAACATTTAGTTTAAGCTGTGTACTCTTACCTTATCGAGATTTTGTCAAATCAATAATTTGATTTAAATAAAGATAAAAAATCACATTCAGTCTTATTTATTATCCTTTGTATTTTTCCTCCTCAATCAGTAGATTACTTTAAAAAAGAAATATTAAAAAATCATTTTTATAGATAATCAATGTGTGCTTTTCAATACAGAAAAATCTGCCATTGCGCAGTTTATATTGCAGTTTTAAAAATAAAAGTGTCATTTAATTGCGAGTGCCAATGAAAAAGAGGTCGAACAAAAAGAATTGGTGCGACTATTAACAGGTAAATAACCCATATTTTGGTTGGATTAACCAGAACGAATCCCTGGAGCAATCCAAGATTACAGGCATAGAACATTTCTCTTTCAACTAATTTCTTCCATTTACATAAGTTTGTTAATCGATAGGAATTAAATGTAATATAAATAAAACAAATACAAAATTGTCATTTAATCTCAACAGAACAAACAATAGCTTTTGGTTCAATATGATTTGTATCTATTAAGATAATATAATAATTTTTCTTAAATAAGTATAAAAACAGTACAAAATATTTAATTTATAATTAAGTTAAACTATTAAAACAATAAATATATTTCCGGTTGATCATTATCTATTTTTTCTAAAACCTGTGTTGTGGTTAACGGCTCGTCGATTGCTAAAAAGGTATATGGACTTCATACCTTTGTAACGTTCGGGATGAGATGCGCCACCTTTCGTGGGGACTCCATTAGCCGTGCCCCAGATATCGATCACTGACCGGATCTCCTCGTTTATATCGGCGTGGATGACAATAAGAACCGAAGAAGAGTCGACGCCACCTTTTTTCACTTGCGCATTAGCTCCACAAGATTTTATAGCGACGTTATCGACATGGACGTATTTTATAATATAATTCGGGAAATAGTTTTCATATACATACATTTGTCCCTCATGCATAGAAACTGGTCCGTTTTCTATAACCGCAGAGTCAAGATGCTTCAAATTGTGTGCCCATTTGCCCATTTCAAGCGCTGTTTTGGGATTTTTGCAAGCCAACTTCGCGCCGCTGCCTTCGATTATAGACACAATTAAGCATATTGCAATTCGATACATTTGTGTTACTAACGCGAGTTGTTTCAGGTGCGCGTAAAATTTGCAAGTACAATAGATGTCAAAAACTTTGTTTTATTGTAGACTATTGTTCGACACACAATGAACATGTACATGGTACGGCGTTAAGGAGACTGGCCGTTGTAGCATTGCTGACTGTTATATTATTCTGATATTCACATACACCGTAGGTGTACTGACTCTGAATTCAAACATCTTTGTATACGTCCAAAAAGATGAATTTCACAATGACTTACGTAAACTATAAATAAAAGTTTAAATTCGTCAGCTCATATAGCCCCCTAAGGGCTCTCGTCTCGTGAGTTAGTACTTAGTTAACTACGTTGGCCCAGTGCGAGTTCGTTGACTTATTTGACTTTCTTCGCAAATATATGCAGGTTGCATCATGATGTTTTCCTTCACCGTTGGAACATCGGATAAATGTACATATGAAATTCAAATATTACTTTAGTACAAGGGACATCAAACCCGCGTATGTAGACCACGAATTCAAAATTTTACCACTGACACTCAAAATGTTTAAAGTACCATGAAAAAATTGGTTGATAATTTTGTAATTACTTTTATTGGGCTACTGGAAATAAATTAACTTGCCGAAATATTGACTCGTTACGGTACACGTTGTGAAGGTAGATTCGTTACATTTCAATTGAAAATTAAAGAAAAGGATAATTAAATTAGAAATAAAACAAGTATTAATGCCACTTTTTTATTGTCGAGAAATAATTCATGAGCGGGCGCTTAAAAATAAAATTTTTATTTATTTTATATAATTTTAGTAAACAATAACATCTAAATAAAACTAGTGGACTCGAAAATGTTACATATTGCGGTATTTATTACACATCTCAAACGACGGAATATAAAAAAAAAACTTTTGTAGTCTCCTCAAAAATCTTTGGTGTACTCTGATCCATTTCTATTATTCACCAGATGAAGAAACTGAAAGTTGTTATTAAAATAACACGACAATAATACAAATAATATCACTTTGACATATCGTTTAAATTACTCCGAAACACCTCTTATTAGAAATACATTTTAAAAATTGATCCAACATGCACTTAGTGCGATGAAAAAGGTATTGGTAAAGTCCCGTAAGACAAAAAACTCTATATCATTAGCTCCCTGTTTTTTTGTTATATACGTAAATAACTGTTCATTATCATAGACAATAATATTTTTATTTACCTACTTGGAATATAGCTGGTGATATCTTGTATTTTTTAATTCGGCTAGTTATTTCCTGAAAGTTGCATTTTATTGTCAAATTAAAACATACTTTTCGGTGATAAAAAAATGTTTTGTATACATCATATAAAATATTGGAAAAATGTAGTAGGTCAATCATTATTATTTGCGAATAACAATTGCTTTTAACAATAACAAAAGTTATATTCGATAAGAGAGATAAATTTAGAATGATTTAAATTGATTTAGTTTGATTTACTAATCTTATATATGTAAATAGGACGGACTTGCCGATATGTCTTACGGAACCAGACAAAAATGGACATAAAATTATTATATTTCCTTATCTGGAGATGCAAATTGTAGCGCAGATTGTTGATAAATTTAATCGTAAGCTTTAATTTAACCTATGTATGAAATGGAATTAAAAAAATCGAGCTACACTGTTAACTAAACTAAATTATATTATACAAATGCCGATTACATAAAAAATGTTTTTCTTTTTTTATAGTAAAAAGCATTGAGATTCCAAATATTTTATGAGTAATAAAATTCCCATATAAGTAAAATATATAAGTGACATAATTAGATATTGTTTAAAATAACTATAAAGCTGATAATTTACATAAAAAACGTTAACTTTCTTACTGGACACATATTTTTGATATTTTCAAATCGAACAACAATTACAAATACATTTTTCTTCATGTTATAAAAAATTATATATATATAAATAGACATATAACTACACCATAAAAAATTAAAAATAAAATATAGCAAAGTGTGATGGTCGATTTAATGCACTAAGTAATTTTAAATTGTGCATTTGGAAGCCCTGCAAATATGCAAATAAAATGGAATAACAAAAACAGCCAAGTAAACCAATTAATCATACGAAACTTACCAAAATAAAACCACGAAAGTTTAAATTTACAATCATTATACGTATCACAAACAAACCTTGTTCCTAGATATTCCTTAAGTACTAATCATTAAGTAATTTTAAAATTTAATTATTAATTTCATGGTGAATATACATATTAATAAAATATATAATTCTGACATGCGGCATGTATATAATGATACATAACAGTTATATACGTTTAAAAATACAATATCAATTAATACGTGATATTCAGCCCTTTTTAAATATTTTCATTTGTTCATCATGTTTTAAGCTGCCTTATAAAAATGTAAGATATGTTATAAAACCATTTGTATGATTTATCACATTTTATGGCAATAAAAAAAAACCTCAAACGGGCGTTGCTTTTATAATTTAACAAATGTAGATATGTTTTGATGGATTCCAGTTCAATATGATAAATATTTATTTTTAAAAAGGCGGATGGATTTTAATATATTTAATATACTTTCAAGTGTTAAAAACTTTAAGGAAATTGGACGGTTTCTAGTTTACTATAAAAATAACGAAAAGGTTGCAACTGCATTTAAAAAAAAAACATTGATAAATATTCAGTTCGGTTTGTTTTTCCAAAAATTAAGTAATTTATTTGTTTATCAGCTTAATAATTTATTCTGATTAACAGTTAACTGTTCATCAAAATAATATTATAAAATAACTAAGTATTTATTGATATTTGATCAAATTGAACATTTTCATTTCAGTGTTCTGTTTAAAGAGAATTAATTTAACAGATTTGTATATGGCAGTGTTTTATAATAGAAAGATTAAGGCACAATTTTTAATTTGTACTCGGGAATGATAGCCGATAAAGATATTTACAGTATATTATATATAACAGGGCCTTACTTAGCTTTACTTACGTACAACAATATATAACATTGTAATAAGATCTGTATAAAAGCATGGATACAACAATATAAAGTTATTTTAAACCGACTACAAAAAAAAATTGGATTTATTAATTGGTTTGCATGTTTTTTTTACAACATAACTTACGGTGATATTATAGTGGTCTTTTGCATTTATTCCCTTGGAGAAATTTAGATATCGGTAAATGTAAGGCAAGATAATTTTTTTGAAGTCGGTTTTACATTTTTTTTTAAAGGGACGGTTATAAGACTGAAATACAAGCGGCCTTTAGAATAGGACTTTACATTCCTAAATAGTTTTTGTCTCTGAAATGGATCAAAGGCAATCCGCGCTACGATTTGCGGTTGTCACAGTTGTTGCGGCGTGACTTCATCACTGCGCATGCGCAGCACTCCTTACATATGTATGGTGGCGGCAGTATAGCGCGCTTCACCGCGTCTCCATCCCCATTGAGAAGGTCGATACTGTAAACAAATTAAAATGTTAATAATAATATAGAATAATAGAAATGTTTATGGTGCTTTTAAAAATAAAATTCGCAGTTGTTAATATACATAGGGATAGCAGATTCAAGGTGTTCCAGAACGTTTTATTTTTAGCTCGGAGAACACAAAGGGCAGCAATGAGCCAAGATATTTAAAAAGGCGTATACCTTGATAAGAAACTGTCCGCTGCGTGTGTGTGGGTTCTTGAAGGCATACAGGATCCAGGCGCCGAAGCAGCAGATGAGGGCGACGAGCACGAACGCTGCGACCGCGCCACCTACCGGAGAGCGCTCCGCCTCGCCCACGCCAGTCATCCCGCCCACACGCTCGCTACTCGGCTTAGCATCCGCATCAGTGTGCACTGTTAATTATATAATATATATACATAAATACTATAAATGCGAAAGTTTACATGTTTCTTATTAAGTATCTGCAAAACGGCTAAAAATAATGAAGTTAGTTGCTTCACCTGTGCTAACAACGACTACAGAGTTGTTCTGTCCATCTGTTGTGTAGGCTGTGTTGCTATTGTCAGAAGGCGCGTTGATCGGCGCATGAGCGGGACAAGACGATGAGTTCATCACAGGCTCTCTATCGCAATCTGGTGATAATGATTATAATAAGACATGGTGTGAAGTAATAAATATTTAAACTAAATCAATAGTATACTTACTTCTAACCATCCAATCTTGTTTGTTCCTATCAGTGCCGCTTGAACATTTACGGAGCTGTTCACACCATAGACACTAAAAAGATAATACATACATTTTAATTAGGAATAAATTTTATAACCTTTAAAGCAGAAATGTTGATTTTTTAATTACCTGGAAGCCGGTATCATGGTTGGCGCAGCTCTCGCAAGTATTATACTGAATGCAGGTCGGCAGCGCAGTCAATTTTAAAATAGTGTTATTTGAAATTTCGTGGTTTTTGAAAGAGATGCGATGATACTCGTAGATTGTCTTATGTCTTACGTCTGTTGACGACAAAAGAAAGCTATAGAATATACAAAAACAAAGAAGATATTTTTTTCAAGCAATAAACCAAATAATCGAAAAGAATACGTAAGCAATGAGAATGTAAAGAATAGTTTATGTCCTTCCTTAAATATATTTTGGTGAATCAAGAAATTAATAAACTGCAGGAAATAAAAATAGCAATGTAAATGGAAATATTGCAGACGAAACAGATAACCTTTGCCCTTGTTTATAATGCAACTGAGAGACGTGTCTTGTTCATAAGATAAGAGACATTACTCAGAATATAAATAAGATTTTTTTAATAAGGATGAATAAGTTGTTATTGTGTCTCCGATAGTAATGTGCTAATGACCTATATGTATGTAGGTAATTACAACAATAATAGCTCGTGTCTCTGATATCTTCGGCTAGAAAGATATACATTGAGTTACTATATTAATGTTTATTTTACAAATTAAAATAACAGTCTTTCTCCTTACATAATGTTAGTACATTTATTGTAAATTTAGTTAATAAAGCCTTAAATAAAGAGGCAGTAGTGTGCTACTTTTACATAACTCTACAATGTAGGCGTTTTAAATTTAAAAATGGCGAACTTTCAATGCGAAAATAAATTACATCATCTCTGTCATTCTCTTAAAAAAAACCAGAGAGAACAATATAATTTTAACAATCTTTTTGAGAATGGAAACAGTGAAAATATTAACTACTAATCAGATAGATAAATATAAAAAGAAATAACTTACTGAAGAGATATTTATCTTTCAAATAAGCATCACTGATGCCAACTTTGACGGGATGCTCCTTATCATTGATTTGCTGAACGGGAATAGCGATATCCTTGTATGTGAATACAATATCTCCATTTTTGTTCAGAGTTGCTGCGAATGTGAATTTCTTTGATGCATCTTCTTGTAGAGTTACATTCTCCCAGATCACGGTAAACTTAGTTCCTAAAACAACATAAGATATATCTTTATAATTAGTATAAATTTTGACTGACCCTAACTCGGGACAATAATGTAAACAATGACATCTCATAAACCATTTTAATTTAGTAAATATTGCATAGTAATATTATTCTCACTAATATAATGTGAATGTTTTGATTTATGGATAGATGGATGGATGTTTGTTAGAAAGAATTTCCAGAATGGCTCAACGGATCTCTATTAAATTTGGGATGGATGTAGAATATAGTCTTGAAGAAGACGTAGGCTACTATTTTTTTTAAATTCTTTATTTGTACAGAACCTAATCTAAACATGTATTCTATTTCAAACCACAGCTCTTTTAGCCCTTCTCTTATGAAAAAAGACTTACCGTCATCGTACATTTTGACCATACTGTCATTGGTGAGGGTAGTATCAAAGTTGGCCATCAATGGAGCGATATACTGCGTTGCTGCAAGCCAATTGTGAACATGCTCGCCTGTGTAAATAAAGCCGCCAGTAGCAACCGTTATATTCCGTATGTCTTGGCCGTAGAATGGAAAATCAAAACTCAATTTCAATGTCTGAAAAAGAGAAATGCATAAAGCATATTTATATTGGCCACTGCATCTTATTGATGAAAATAATTATTTCAAAGTCTTTCCGTGATGACGTCACTTTAGGATAATACAGGCCCGTTATGACAATTAGTTTATTTATTCTGCTGAAACTTTCGTAAATAAGATCATAAATCATTGTGACTTCTGCTGGCCTTTACCCAGTAATGAATCATAACAAACTGAAATATAAGGATGGAATTTTACCGTAGCACGTCGATGTGAGTTACTGAGAACTTCATGAATTTCTGGTTTCCGTTCAGTTATGTTTGCCCAATATTCCTTCACAAAGGAGACGTTACCGATGAATGTGCTATTGTAGAACATGTGATTGTCCTGTGTATAAAAATAATAAACGATTAATACAAAACAAACATCGAAACAACGGCGATGACAAACTAACGCGTAACACTCAAGATGGGATCATAGTTTAAAAAAAAACAATGTTATTACAAACATTCGCTTGCACAACACTGTAATATTTGGTCCTAATTATAATGTGATAGGCATATTATGTATTTATTTGTGTATACATAATCATTTATATTAAAATATTTCTTTTATGTTTCTAAAGGTTGATAAAAAATTATCTTTAATAGTAAATAATTATATATCATTTTGTAAAAATATTTTAAAGTTAGGGATTCTAAAACGACTTCTTTTCATTACTTACATAAACCAAACTGGTGAGATTGTGTTCAGCTTTAATAGTTTCCGGTGTTTCCCTAAATACATCGGAGATATCTGAAAAGAAATACAAATTAAACATCACATAAACGGAATACATATCATTTACTAAAACTGAAAATTAAGACTGAGACATTACTAGGTACTTTATAAGGTATTTGTAAGTGTTCTGATTATAAATAAAAATATTCTATTTATGTTGATTGGTAAGATGTGAGAATTTAATTTTTTATAGCTTTCTTTGATCAGATATAAAATAAAAAAGAAACAGAGGAGTCGAAGAGTCTAGTCCTGCAATCAAAGGACAAAGTGTTAAATAAGTTCAAGAAATCTTTATGAAGATAGACGGCAACCGAGGAAGCAGACCATTAATGTCAATTTTATCACTTAGTCCTAATAACATATACATTTTAAAAGAGGATGCACTTATTTCTTTGTAAGACGTCCAACTGCATGCCAAGAGATAGTTTGAATGTACGTAAAGGATTACTAAGTTCATATTACATTTATTAGTACTGAACAAACTTGAAAAATACTATCACCATAAAATTGGTGCTTTTATGCTTTAATCCAGAACAAATAAACAATGAAAACCTTTATCATTATAATAACGTAGAGAAGTAACTTTTTTTAATTCATATTGGACAAAGGTTTATAATGGAAAAGGCCAACATTAAAAATTCCTTGGTATCTTTTTTTAGGTTGCTATTATGATAACAAATCAACTTTTAAAGAAAGCAACACATACGTCCTACTAATGACCGTAGTTTATTTAGCTTAACGACTGCATTACTCTAATTAAGTATTATTTAAAATATGTCACGCCCTTTCTTTGTAATAACCATAACATTTGATAGTATAATTCTATTTCATGCTCTTGAGTACACTGATTTAAATTATAAGGTCTCTAGTTTTTTTTTTTTTAATTTATACGCTATAAACATTTCCGCGAAATATAATTAGCAATATATTGTAAAATAAATAAAAACACTCATGTAAATATATGGTGTAGGATATTAAATATATTGAGAAATATTTCTCAAACTCTTTTGTCACATCCTGTCACTGTATCTGCAAAATATATCTTTAAAACTCTGAAAAAAATTATACTTTAAAAGTTTCTAATTATTAGAGCACTAATATCTTATCAATCACAATTCCAATTACCTACTTACTTGGATTTTAATGGCCATTGTCTGTCAAATCATACAAAATTGTTGTAACTAGATAACATAAAAGTTAACAGTCATGTACTTACTATCATCTGGTAGAAGCGGCTCACTCACTTTGGGCATATTCTCAGTAAGATTAACACGCAGAATCCCAGATCCATTGACTCCCAACAACGGTATCTTAGTAACTGTAGCTACAGCTGGGGTAGAAGGCTCTGAAATACAGTTAAAAAAGAATAGTTGAGTAACAACCATTTATATACACCTAAATGATACTTCGCAAATATATGCAGATATATGTTTACCAAGGCGTCTCTAAAGGTGGTATGTAATGTAGGTTAAAGGGGTGATCCATCAATCGAATTATCTTTGTCGAAATACATTAGGAAACGAATTATTAGATGCAAAACAAATGTCTAGATAACTATAAAAATCGTCAACACTGGAGTTAGCCTTCATTTGCACGGGCGCTTTTTAAACGTCGCGTTACAATACGGTGTTGACTTTTTTGTTTCGTTCGCCCAGAGCTCGAAATGCGCTGCCGTATGAACATACATGGAAATACGTTTGTTCTATTTGAACGCTTTTTTAACGCGCGATTAAAAAGCGCCCGTGCAAGTAATTGCATAGAGCTTTAAATGGAGTGCAGTAACATTAAGAAAACATAATTAATAAAACGATATTTTGATCTGCATGACTCAATTGCTATATGATATCTCGTTGTTATTCTTAACAGGTTATCTTCAGCGAGTGTCAAAGCCAGCTATGTATATATGTCGTCGTCTTGACTTTGGGTGCAAAGTACACATACGATAGTTGTAACAAACGAATTGAGGTCATTGATTGTCTTTTATACTGATATTATATTTTCCATCAAATTAAATTGAATGGCGTCCATATTCTATTTTAGCTGAAAAGTCGTTTTCACAATAACATTCTCGATGAAGACAGGGACAAATATACTGAATGCCAAAAAAAATAAGCAATAGCATCGGAAAACTTCGCATGGCCCTTTTATATCACGATCAAAAATAGCAATACGCCAATGTTAATCAAACAAAATATAATAAAATAATACATACACAATATTTAAGGCTTATATATGTAGCGAGACATGTAGGTATTCGCACAAGAAAGCGGACAACGCGTTAAAACTACGCCAGCTTGAAATTTTTTAGTTATCTTAGTAATATTATTATATGTTATTAATTTATATACATGGATGAATGAATGTTTGTACTACGTATCTCTAAAACGGTTTAATGGATATCGCTGAAATTTGACACAGAAGTGCATGGGACATAGTCTGCAAGCACACATGGGCTACTAATTAAGATCTTTTTAATCCCGCGTGGACGGAGTCGCGGGAAACAGCTAGTCGTTGATGTTTAAATGTCTGTCGGGATCTTAGTATTATTAAACTACACAATACGTGACTAAATCCACGTGACATAATACGTAGCTTGCAATCTCGTATTTATTTATAAGTTTATCATAATATCAGAGTAAGGAGATTTAAATATATGGCCCAAATAATGTTAAGAGACCTTGAGATTGTAGCAGTAAGACGTAGTAACGACACTTCACGGTTCCATGGCGTTCTGCTTTACATCGGTAAATAAGGCACGTATAAGATTATATTATGTATATATAATCTTAAAGCAATAACAGAGGTACACAAAGGCGACGCATTTATCTCGTGTCAGCTCATTAAGAGCGAAGAATTATTGCGTGCGCATAAAAACAATGGGACACAACTATTTCAATATAATTTAATAGATGCATATTTCTTTGCCAAGAGTTTCATGTCCTGCTTTTTAACTTCAATTTCTCACATGATATCGAATTTAATATTTTATTAAAATTGTAGGCATGGTGCAAAATCTTCTCAAGATTATATGAATGATGGAAAAAGTAAATGAAATCATTTTAAAAATTAGACATAACTACTTTCCATAAAAATCGACTAAACCAAATAAAATATGTTATCTGAAAGTAGTAATCAAGAAATTGGTTCATTAGAACACAAAAACGGTAAGCACAGCAGAACAATAAATAATAAAAACCGAGCTACGTCATTGTAAACACCTGTGTAATTTCCCTTTGGCAAATAATACATACTGAGATCATCGGCCACCGTACGGCAACGTCGCGGGTAAATTATGGAAACATTAAACAATAACTAAATACAAATGCCAAGCTTATAATGAGAAAACATATTGTACGATCTCGCACAGGTCTTACCACAAATAATACCGGTTTTACTTGAATGAGTAAAAAAAGAATATAGTGCTTGAAACTACACTATGTTTTATTTCTTTTCGTATGTCCAATTAATAATAAAACGATGAAGGAAGTCTAGCTATTATATTAAATCCGTTCAACATCATTTTGATGTTTAATAGTAACGAATCAAATAATCTTAACAAGCAATGCCTTTTGCATGATTTTTGCATAAATTATTATTATAACAGATATGACTAAACGTTATATCCATACATCTCCATCAATGTTGCTCGTACGTATATCCATCGACATTTTCAAAAAAATAACTTCCATGACTGTTATCAAGACAAAGTATTTTAGTATAGAAGTGTAGATTTTTAAAAGTATACTTGATAATACATATACATAATAACTCTCGGAGGACGCGTAGGTATTACTGGTATGGTTCACAATAACTCAGTTAAAAATTATCTTGTTCAAAATACAAATTCGTTTCAGTGCTCTTGTTTAATACTTAAGTTAATAAAACTACGAAGTAGAAAAGTATTTTTTCTGCTGCAATATTGTTTTGACATTTGGAAAGTGGTGTACTTACTGTCAGTGCTGTTAATTGTTCTATTGATGTCGTCTGCGGAAGTTGATTGGGTTGGCTTGGTTCCATTAGGAACAGTAACCGGCGGAGTCGTGGAGGATTCCGTAGCAAGCGTCGTCGAGGTTGGAGCGTCGCGTCGATGTCTCTCATGTTCCAATAATACTATATTTGGGTCACTTTTGAAAGTAACCAAGCTCTCATCTAATGTGTAATCCACATTACTTCCTGCAAAAAAAGTTTTCATCACCAAAAATAAACAATTAATACTAAGTAATTAAACTAATTGAAAGTACCAGCACCAACTAGGTGTATTGCAATTTGAATAACCGTTAGGGCTGAAAACATGTCTATTTTCACTGCTACGCGATATGATCCTGATAATCTGAGAATCGCTGCGACAATTCATTTCCATTCCTACCCTTCCAATGATATAAAATGAACGTTGGTGTTACACAATCCCTACTTTTCAAAAATTAAATTTACGCCCGTTGTGGGACAATTGAATAAACAATTAAAACAAACAAAGCTATACAAACATTGTTTTTACATTAAGATATGATTGTCTAAAAGTGCTAATAATAGACAGTTTTTAGAAAACATTTTTTCGATTATAAAACTATCAAACCGTTTGGAGTTTTTTTTTGTTTAATAGATGCCGTTATTAAGCGATAGCGAATGCTCAAATTTAACCGATTGTGTTGTTTTCAACAAAATATTAAGAAAGTAGCAATAGATGGTAATAAAACGTCCGGTCGTAATAAGAGGCAGTGTTATTGATTGATATCCGGGAACTGGACATATACATGGCGATTAGCTGCCAACACTCGATGGCTAAACAACATGTAGAATAAAAATCACAGCTCTTGTTTTTCATTTAGTCGTTTGTTAGAGTCATATCTTGTAAATGTCTCATATATTGTGGGAAAACCGCTTAGATTAAATATTTAGAAAATTTAGTGTTCTGAATTAACTTTAAGGATTAGTTTCAGTAAAATTATGTTAAGTTTTCGTAACTACTTTACGCAACTAATCTTACTTATGTAATAAATAACTTAAATTAAATTAGGAATAGTGTTAATTTGCGAATGGTGTAAATAATAATAATCACGTAATTTGTATAAAAAAAGGATAATTTCTTATTATTTTTTACACAAATTATGTGTTTAAGGAAATCGCATGAAAAGATAAATAATTCTTTTAATAGAGAGAGTAGACTCTTTTCCAATAAAATGCGGGATAATAAAAAGAGGAAATAATAAACGAATAATACTTTTAGAGATGTCATGCAACTAAATAGTGGTTTTCCTGTTAGACATCAACTATAATTATTGAGCTAAATTACTTCATTTACACTGTAATTATTATATGGGCGGATATTTTAATTAAGTGACACTTATGTTCACGACACACTACGACATTTTATACATTCAATGTATAGATCGAGTGTCTACGTGTGTACACCGCGGTGACATATAGTGTCAGAAGTATGACGTGGGAGTCTTCAAGTGTATAGTGAATAGGCATTTACTAAGCTAGCGCGTACCATCTTTTGACCACATCATCACTTTCATCTGATGGGATCATGGTCAAATGTTAGCATATTCAATATTAAAAAAAGTAGTTGCATTGTCAGATTTCCTGCTGTGGAGATTTAGTAGGAAAAATTAAATACCCATTAATTTACTGAGTCCAGCAGTAAGACACTTGTTCATGTTACTAGTTAAAGACGGTAAACATAGCAATGCCAAAGTCAAAACAATATCTAAAAGTCATTATAATATATACTGGGACAGGATTCTGTGTTAGTAATGTGTTGCAACAACTTTTAGATGTGTCAGAAAATAACCTTCTTCTTTTTGAAGTCGACTAAGAAATAACATAAGATAGCTACACTACGACAAGGGTCTTGTGACAGTTCATTTATATAGACAGATTTGTGCTGGTGACCTTTCATTATTTAGTTTGACTTAGGCTCACCAGGTCAGATAACTTTATTAGTATACTGTCATATATAATTAATGTATAATGTATATAAACTGATATGGTTATCTGAACCAGTGGGCATAAGTTACTAGGGCAACACTTATATGACAGGGATGTCAACATCAAAAATTGTCTCAGGTCCCTTTTTGTACTCATGCTGTCATCTCATTTATTTTCTTTTACAAGTATATCATTATCTATGTGTAAGTATGTTTCATGTATATGTTCTGACAATCAAGAAGAAGATGAAGTAATTTATCATATGGAAACAAATGCAGCAGCAACTATTTTACTGGTCAGATAGCCTTGTTAGACTACTCGATCTAAAACATCATTATAATGTATTGTTAAAAACAAAAAACATTTTAGTATGGAACCTTTCTTTGGCCTCGGTTGAAAGTTTGAAGCTTTAAGTTCCTATCAACCCATTAATTTAATAAAGCAAAGTGTCATGTGAATTGCTACAAGAACCTTGAGCAAAACTAACCAATTTACTTATTTGAATATAATTTATAGATTAAACACCAAATTGTAATGGTGGCTATATTCATTATGCATATTAGTTGCATACTAGTCAGCCATGATTTTTGCAAAATGTATTAGCAATGTGCTAATGGTACCAAGTTTCGTCTTCTTTTTTGCAAAGGTGCCAAAAAACTGATGGGAAGACAGAGATGGTTAACAACGATAAACATCTGCAACACTAGAGGAACTATTGAAGTATTGCCAGTATTTAAGGAGATAGTCTATAGTCTCCTGGAATTAAAAGAAGCTCAGTATTAATTTAGTTTTTGATTTTGTTTATTATGTTCAAAGTACAAATATTTCCATGGGAACCATGTTTGTGGGTAAAAATGCCCGTAAAAAAATTATGAACATCTAATTTGATCGGCAACATTGAGCATGTTCTAACAACTTTTTTAAATGTTAAATTTATAGTAATAACTTGTGGATATATTTTAACTAAGCAAGACTTTTTGTATTAAGTTAAACACCACCTGTAACATATAAATTCACTCTTCAAGACTAATAAAATATTCTATAAGTTTCTCAAAAACATCAGTCCCATATCTCCTTACCACCACAAATGAATTAAATAATTCATATAAAACATTACTATATCAATTCAATGATGTCATTTCGTAATGTTTTAAAGTGTATAACCGTTTTGAAGTTTAAAAACATAAAAAATTCAGTAATTTAAGTTATAAAATACTGGAACCAGGCAGCATACAAAACTATGATAAACTTAATTATAGTTGTAACTAAACGACACTACTTTTTTAGTATGCACTTACCCTTTACGCAGTGGCTAAACCAAATCAGTAGTAACAGTGACGTGGTGGCCATCACCTTCGGTAATAGAGAAAACAACATTTTTCTAGAAAATGACACGTTCCCCAAACCCAAAATAGACAAATTAACTTTTGTAGCTTTCCACGCTGGCGTTTGTATTCCAGTTCCCGTAATCTGTGCAATATAATGTACCTAATGCCTAGCGATACACCGACACATAGGACAGGACACTAAATACAGATTCATTTCACATGAACAATGGTCACAGAGTAAAATAAAATTAGTCATTCAGATTTAAATGTCACTGTAGGCAGACCAACTGCGCAACAATACCAACCAAACGGTATAAACTGACAGCCAAGTTACTGTAATAGCGCGATCTCCGGTAAGCCTAATGTTTTACCCGTAAAAACTTATTTTTTTAACTAGATATGGTAGATTGCGTAAAGATACGTGCTTTTAGCATAGATATACATATAGATGCTTATACTTTCCGCGGTTCAAAATTTCTCCGGGCTGACACTTACACAACAGCATTTACTTACAAGGAAAATTGAATTCAATGTTTTCCTAGTCTTTATTTTTTTCTATCTAATAATATTTCATACTTTTTATAATAAAATAAAACACAAAATTGTGTTTATAATCTTTAACTCACTTGATGAATGATAATATACTCTTTAATCCCGGTAAATGTTGATAAACAGACGAATAATATTACTTTTTTAACGTATATTTCATAGGAATAACAAAAACTAAATAGTTTAAATTCCTTAAAAAAAGCATACATTAAACGATCTTACAAACAGGATGTTAATCGGATTGATTGTTTTTGTGTATATACTACCGTGTATTCGAAGTATCTAAATCTTGAAATTTATCAAGTAAATGATGGTAATTGCTCCAAATAAATACAAACGTTCAAACTAAATAATTGATAAATCTTAGGTTTTACATTTTTAAATCTGGGTAATCTTAGGATTGACCTAAGTTCGTGTTTTTAAAGTAACTTCTTTACCACAGAGTAAGTAGATTTATGATCTATGACATTACTGTTGACATAAATTTTTGTATACATAGACGGGTTAACAGCCGTGGTTTTTGTGCCTATTTGATTTAAGCAATTTTGGCGCTGACTGTTGAGGTTGGTAGCAGTGCACAGTAGACAATTTCATTTTTTTGCTTGAATTTGCTTTGTATGACTATAAATATACGTCTTAAAACGTAAAATGTATTATATATCGATACATACGGCGTAATTAGAATTATTTCTCTGAAAATTAGTTAGCAATCGCGGCATATTTTTGAATAATTCTTTTTGACATATTTAAGACAATATGTTTTCACGCCTTACTTACTAACTTAAGGAGTGAGTAAATTGAAAAAAGTGTTATGCGAGAAAGAGAAAAAAAATTCAAATAAATAGCAACAAAGATAGACGATTGCCATGGTTACGTTAATACCCAACTACTGGCCAAGCCCTTCTTTGTTATTCGGGCGTTTGAATCTGCAATTAAAAGTTTTACGGAATGTAAATAATAAATGTAATTTTTGTGTGTTAGAAAAATCAATAGAATTTCATGCGGTTGAAGCCGCACTTAAAAACGACTTATATTTGGGATGAAATATATTACTATACTACTAAGTATTTTTTCTCGCGGTTTCGCGGGCAAAATTTTTTTAAGGATGTATTAAATGCATAAGTTATTTGCATAAAATCCCAAGATTTAACTAATTTGACAAGTTATACTTGGTTATATAAAGGCAAACCTTTAGATATATTTGGGTAGTAATAAGAGCCCAAGAATTTTCTCGATAAAATGGAATCTGGATTTTTCGATGATTATTTTGTAGATTCTTGCTTTATATAGGTTCGCAGGCAATTTTTTGCTTATTATCTTATACTAAAGTCGGTATAAAATTCTGGTAATTACTTACTTATCATTTAAAATATCTGGCGATTCCTTAAACGTGACCACTTAAAAAAACTCAAACTTTAATTTGGTTAATAATCAGTCGGCATTTTAAGTAATAATAAGCCACAATAAAAAAGTCTTCCTATTTTTTTAAACTATATGTACAGCAGGATATCCAGGTAACATCATCATCATCTGAGGTTCTAAAGCCGTGAAGGGCCTGGGCCTTGTGCGTCCATGCGGCTTACTCTCCTACAAGCTTTCAGGTACTCTGCAATCATCTAGATAAAAGTAGTAAAATATAGATGATTTATTGGATTTATTAGTAATTTAATTTCAAAAATCAACAGTTTTTCGTAATATTCTACCCTCGCTTCGCTATGCTGCGACATCCATTGACATCTTGAATGAATACATATTACACTTCCGACTATTTGTCAGGAAGTTTATGGACTTTGTAGGAACTGCGTCAAATATAATTTATGACAAACATTTTCGGGTGATTGACATTACTTAGGAATTTTGTATAATGGATTAGATACATCAATAACATGTTTAGTGATGGAACATCAGATTTCAACGATCTTATCTTTTGTAAGTAGAATTTCGAAAAATGCATGTATTTTATATTGACGAAAATTTAATTTATTGTTATTATACTTAGTACATTAAAATAAAACACAAAACACTTTTTATATATAATAAATAGTTTATGTAACATAATTTAATCTTGATCGAAATGAATAAAATCTTTGTAAAACTTTTCTTAATATTGGTAGAAATGTAAAATAATTTACAAAGTTATAAAAAGCTGCCAAAGTAAGTAACTTTAGATAGATGATTTCGGTTAAATCGTTATATTTTCGGCCAAGGGATTTGTGGTTTTCCATTTTACATGTTTTTTTCCATTCACTTTATTTAAATAGGTAAATTTTTATTTTTTGATACTAATATAACACTTGCGAAAGAAGTAACACCGAGAAAATTTTATTCCAATAAATTTAAAAAGCCTTGGAGACTAGGAATGATAGCTTAAATAGAGTGGAAACGAGTTGCGAGAGCGCTATTGTGCGCTTGAAATATTCTAAGCAATAAATTGCAATATCGGAATTTACAGGTTTTAAAGCAAGCTTAGCTACATCGGCTCGCATTGTGCGGGAGCAACGATGCGTACTTGCTACGTTTTAGACATACCACTTTATTTCAAATAGCGTTGTTGTTACATATCTTACTAATATTATATGTGAATGTTTGGATGGATGGATGTCAGAAGGTATCTCCAGAACGGCTGCATGGCATCTAGCTGAAATTTGGCATAGATGTAGAACATAGCCTGAAAGAATATATAGGCTACTAATTAAGTTTTTTTTTCAAATCCGCGCGCACAGAGTCGCGGGCGACAGCTAGTGTATTATAAATTATACTTTGTATTTATAGATTATTTTAATCTGAGTCCAGAAAACTCGTTAGGACTACACCGGGCATCCATTGTGTTGTCGCGATAAAAGTGTTGGTAGTGGTTGTGGTGGAGCCCGCTTTAACATCTTCGGACGAATTGGCCAGTTCGCCTGGTGCAATACCACGACCACACAGGAGTGGAAGTGGACTTTCCGGATGAGAGGATGCATGGGAAGGGAAGATCTTTTCTTTCTGTGCATCCTCTCCTCCGTCGATTAAAGATAGGCAAAGTATGTGTATGCAATTGCGCATGTCTATGGGCAACGGTCACCTCGCCATTTCAGCGATTTCAGGTGGCCGCTCGCTCGTTTGCCATCTTATGATATAAAGAAAAAGATCATACAAAGCCCATAGACGCAATCGCAGGCGCGTTGCCTACCTTTCGACGCAGGAGGGAATGCACAGAGTGAGAGTATTTTTCCTTCCCATACATCCTCTCATATGGAAAATCCACTTCCACTTCCCATCCTTTACTTATAAGAAAAAGGGCTGGAAGGGAAAGAGGGTTAAAATAAGCCTTCGAAAAGCGCACTTATCAGTCGAAACGAAATTGCTTCCACTTCACGCCTGTCTTCTGTGTGGTCGTGGTATTTCACCGGGTGAGCCGTGCCGATTCGTGCGAAGATGTTAAAGCGGGCTCTACCACTGTTGCTGCTAGGCGCGATTGCCACTTCCTTATATATAAAAAGTACCTTGAAAGTAAAAATACTTATGGAAGGTTTAGTGAAGGAGGTTTTTTTTTAACTTTGAAATTTATTTAAATCTTTTTAAACAATTGCAGTTGAAGAAATTTTCATACATCCTGTATCTTGTAGTATATTTATTAGAATTTTTATCTGCTTAAAATGTTTTATTCTATTTCTAAAGTTTCCACAAATATACAGTTTATTGAAACATATCAACGTCTTCGTGACCAACTTATCCGTATCAAAACGTCTCCCATTTTATTTTTATCAGTCTGGCAAATTTTCTTAGCCTATTTTAAAACTGCAAAGACACTATACTTAAGAACACTTTAAGATGGTACGGCCTAGATTTTAATGTTATTTCTAGTATCGAAGACTTGCAAGCAGGTCTATGATAAATTTAGATAAGTCTTATTACGTCGACTATCTTTTACATATGTAATCATATCTACAGGCTGCTTCTGAAGTGATGGATCAAAAGTTGAAAATATACAGGGTGATTCTTAATGGATCAAGAGCTTTGTGGCAGTATGGGATCTCAATAAGTGTCGTTTAAGCCCAAAGTATACTGTGCAATTACCAATAGATTATTATTCTATTATTTGTAAAAAAAAAAAAAAATTGGATTTATGTGAAAAGCTTTACCCCCCTTGTAATAACAGTATTTTTGGTGCTCCAGCAAATTTCAGTTTCACGATTTTTTTTTTCAAAAAACGAAATGACTTAAAAATCGCGGAACATAGTTTGGGCTTAAACGATAGCTATTGAGTCGCTCTACCAACACAAAGCTTTTGATCCGTTCATTAAGAATCACCCTGCATATCTTTTAAGCCCAATTTATGTTCCACGATTTTCAATAGATCTATATTCTCTTAATATGAAAAAGTTATTTTGATTATTAGTGATAAAGCGTTGTGTGTAATTTTTGACTAAAATTGGACTTTTGTACCTTTTTTCAAATCACATAAGAAAATATAAAAATTTAACATTTCATGAAATGTAATTTTTATCCCCAAGTTTGGCATGTTGTGATAATTTTTCTACGCCAACTTTTACTTTATATTTTTATATAAATACGTCAATATACGTAGATTAAGGCCATAAAAATATTATTCGCCTTTTATTTTAAAAAAAATTCAAGAATATCTTCTAATTAAAAAAAAATAGGAAAAATAAAAGAAAAATTATGTTTTAAATAAAAAAGATAATGGAATAAATAATAAAAC